AAAAAAAAAGAATAAAGTATTCTTGGCTGGGTGTGGTGGCTCACGCCTGTAATGCCAGCACTCTGGGAGGCCAAGGAGGGTGGATCACCCGAGGTCAGGGATTCGAGACCAGCCTGGCCAACATAGTGAAACCCTGTCTCTACTAAAAATACAAAAATTAGGCAGGCGTGGTACCGCACACCTGTAGTCCCAACTACTCAGGAGGCTGAGACAGGAGAATGGCTTGAACCTGGGGGAGGTTGCAGTGAGCTGAGACCACACCACTACACTCCAGCCTGGGTGACAGAGCCAGACTCTGTCTCAAAAATAATAAACAAACAGTTTGGAAGAAAATGATAGCATGTTACAGGGCGTGTTTCATCCCCAGCACCAAGGAGTGTGCGGAGAGGCAGGTGCGTCTTTTGGGATTCCCAGTCTGATGTCCTGCCAGCTCTGGGAGAACAGGATGCCACTCTGTTCTCTTCTTTGGTCCTGTCCTTCTTCCTTCTGCCTAACTTCCTTTCAGCAAAGCAAAGAACAATCTCCGTTCTTAAAAACGAACACGCACAACACCGACTTCTTTCTTAGATGGCAGTTACTAAAAGAATGAGCATTATTGAGGATTAAGAGATAACCTCCACCAGGGAAGGGGATGGAAACGCTAATTGCTGCGGAGTCACAGCCCCTCAGAACCTTGGATTACACCAGTTGGAGTGTTTGAACGGGGACTTTATGTTTCTCCTCCTTTGAAAACGGCCGCGAGGCTGGCTGTGTAGGGATTGTACACTCAGGAGACTTATGGCTGGAACTGTGTCTGCTGAAAGGCCCCCTAGCTTGGGCTGTACAAAGATCCATTTGATTTGCTGCCCTGGTTAGAAAACCGCCTCCCAGGCAGAGGGTCCCCTCGTCCATTCTGTGGACCAGCATGGGGCATTACGAAGGCGTGGGAAGGCAGCTGTGCTTGCTAGTGTAGGTGGCTGTAGGAGAAGAAAGATTCGTTCTGTGAACCACAGGAAAGAAGGGCACTAGGGGAAAATCTGTTGTTTACTTTCCTCTACACAGTGCCCGGGATGTTGCGAAAGGTGCTGCAGGAACCACGTGAATTAATACACGAGACCTTTGGCTGTGAATAAAGACGGTTTTTCCTCCTGGCAACCTACATTTTATAAAGCACTCACTTGCCCTACATTGGGTCCTACCAGCGTGTCTGGGCTCCCTGGGATGGAAGATGTGTGGACTGGAGCAGTCCTGCCAGCCTGTCCTGAGGGCTGTAGCCTGGACCACAATCCTGGGGCAGAAGATGGGGCAAAGGATTGCACCTGCTGCTAGCTGGGGTGAGCCAGGACTCAGCTCATCTGAGCGCAGTTCCCTTATCTGTAAAACGAAGAGGGTGATCTGTGGGCCCCTTCAGATCTTTCCAGCTCTGGCCTCCCGAGGTCCTGTGAACGGAATGGTTGGCTGATGTACAGTGACCGTGTTATTAGAACTCAAAATCGGCCACTGAGGGACATAATTACATGTCATATAATTAAATAATAGCTCCCATTCAAGCATTTGCCTTGTCAGGGCTGTGCTAGGTCCTCCGAGTGTTTCATCTCCCACTCAGGTGAGGGAGGATCAGCTGTGTGCACACAGCATCCCTGTATAGTGGATGTCTTCCCCTGATTCCCCAGTGACACGTGGAGGTTACGAACCTCATGCGCCATCTCACAGCAGATAAGGGGCTCTGGTGTCAGAACCCAGGCCTGCCCACCTTCAAGCCCAGTTCCCTTCCATTTGGAGCCAGAGTGCTGTCTGCGTAGGTGCAGTGAGCTGGTGCCTTTGTGCACCAGCTGGGTGCACAAAGCCTGGGGCAGGCCCTTAGTAGGTGCTGAGTGAAAGCTGTCGCTGGACCTGCTGTTGCTCATGTGTGCTGGGGCAGTCCTGCCAGCCTGTCCTGAGTGCTGCAGCTGGGGCAGTCCTGCCAGCCTGTCCTGAGTGCTGCAGCTTGGGACACGCCCCCAAGGCAGAGGATGGGGCAAAGGATTGCGAGTCAGTGGGTGATCAGTGGGGGCGACACGGCAGGAGAGTTGAGGTGGATCCATTCTGACAGTTGCCCACCTGCCCATCAGGGACATTGTTCAGCATTGGAGAATGCAGCCTCTTTACTCATTCTTGCTAGGAGATTGCCAAGACCAGAGAAAGGCTCATGTTGGGGCCTTGGAGGTAACGGGGGCCTCCCTGTGCCCTGCGTGCCTACACCTTTCCTCTGTCTCTGGGGACATGGTCCTACCAGGCACTGATTGTGGCGCTTCACCTGGGGGCTCGAGCCATTGAGCCAGGAGTATACAGGTTCACAGCCACCCGATCCAGGTGCCAATGTCCTCGCCAGGCACTGATTGTGCTCCAAGTGGCCGTTTGTGGACAGCTGTCCTCACATTGACTTGGAATGGAGCTCAGTGCCCAACCTGGCTGCAGAGCACACAGTGGCTTCCATTTTCTTTGGACCCGCCACTGGTTTTTGTACACACTGTCACCTGCTTTCATCTCCAAGGAGGCCACATGTGGGTGCTCCCTGTAGCCACGGGAGACTTCCTGGCATGGGGTAGGGCATCCTAGAACCCAGCTGAGGCCCTTCCTAGCCTGGGGCAGGGGCACAGGGATGGATGTCACTATGTCGTGTGAAGAGCAGGGGGCTGTGGTTGCCTTTTCCTGGCACCTGCTATGCCCTGGGCCAGGTGCTTACAGACTCTCCCCCTTCACCCGCACAAGAATTCCCTATGACAGCTGATGACAACACACTGTCTTAGGTCCGATCATGCGGCTATCACAACGTAACCATAGACTGGATACCTGTTAGCAACAGAAATGTATTGCTCGCAGTTCTGGAGGCTGGGAAGTCCAAGCTCAGGGCACTGGCAGATTTGGTGTCTAGTGAGGACCTGCTTTCTGTTCATAGACAGCACCTCCTCCCTGTGTCCTGACATGGTGGAAGGACATACAGTCTTCCTCAGTCCTCTTTTGTAAGGGCACTAATTCCACTCTTGAGGATACTGCCCCCATGAGCTCATCACCTCCCAAAGGCCCCACCTCCTGATACCATCACCTTATATGAGGATTTCAACATAGGAATTTTGGGGACACACACATTTGGACCAGAGCCACAGCGAGTTGAGGGCCGAGCC